TAGACGTGGTAATATTACCAGTTTAGAAACATCGAGGTTATTATTAATTTTTCCTCACAACAAATTTTGAACCTAGTCAAGAATCGAGCTACAATTAAGCTAAAATTTGAAATTAATTCTATTGCATGATTGAGTGAAAATGGGTGCAATCAATTGGGCCCATTGCATCGTCTCTGGACGTCTTTCGAATATATCTCGCGACATAAAAGTTGGCATAAGATAAAGCATGTCTCCTTTTTCTCATCGTGAACTTATTCACATGAGAATACCAAGCTCTCTATTGCTTGGAAAGAAATTGCAGATTCAAGACGGAGACGCCTGGACGGAAAGAAAATGATATGTATGCATTTGAGCAGGAAGACGAAGAAAGACATACACTTTCCTACTGCGATTGTGATACGTCGATTTTGCAAATGGACATTCTACGTCTTAATCCAGGTGCACTAATTCTTGAAGTCTTTTTCAGTCGCACATTGATTGCAACATCGTGAAGGTGTCACGCCATTGCCTTTACCACCTTTTTTTGTATTTATGAAAAAGTTGGACATTTGCATATGTCGTCAGACCCATTTTATATGCCATTTTGTTGAAGTTTATATCATAGTCGCTCCTTTATTCCTGTATAAATAAATGGACCCAAAGCTTCTTGGCTGAGTAATTTATGCGCAATCAGGCAGAATTCCTGTTTTTTATTAGTATTGGAAAAATATCAAATGTGAAGAAGTTGGCAACCATAGCCATGTGTCAACAAAACATTTTACTTTGTATCAAATTTGAGAAGAAAAACTTGAGAACTAAGTGGAGTGAGATTCTAAGTCGTGCGTTAGAACAAAATTAAACTATTCATTCATTTGGAGAAATTTACGATGATCCAACTCAATTTTCACAATAACATACGGCCATGGGTTTCAAAATTTTCACGACAAACGCTTCCTCTCACGCTGAAGCTCTAATCACAGCCATCCTCCTTTGGATTGACTGGAGCCGGTGGAGTGAGCGCTTCATAAGCAGGGGCATTTGTGACAGAAAAGGTCGAATCACAGTCACTCTGCACCTGCTTCATCGTTGAAGTTACATCTGGAACCGTTGGGGTTGTCTGCTCCACTGCTGGAAGAATCTCTGGAGCCGTTGGGGTGACCTGCTCCACCGCTGGAAGAACATCCGGAACCGGAGGGATGACCTGCTCCACTGCTGGAAGATCCTCTGGATTCGTTGAAATAGCTTGCTCCACTTCTTGAGTGAAGTCTGGCACCGTTGTGGTGGCCTGTTCTAAATACGGAAGAATCTCTGAAACCGGGGGAAGAACCTGCTCCACGGCTAGAAGATTTTCTGGAACCGTTGGATTAAGTTGTTCCGCCGTTGGAAGAACCTCTGGAGCCGGATTAGCTTGCTCCACCATTGGAGTCAATTGCTCCACCGTTGGGGTCACTTGCTCCTCAATTGGAGTCACTTGCTCCACTGCTATAAGATTTTCTGGAACCGTTGGGTTAACTTGTTCCGCCGTTGGAAGAACCTCTGGAGCCGGCTTAGTTTGCTCCTCCATTGGAGTCAATTGCTCCACCGTTGGGGTCACTTGCTCCACAATTGGAGTCACTTGCTCCACCATTGGAGTCACTTGCTCTACTGTTGGGGTCACTTGCTCCACCGTTGGAGTCACGTCCTCTACTGTTGGAGTCACTTGCTCCACCATTGGAGTCACTTGCTCCACCGTGGGGGTAATCTGAGGTACCGCTGGTGTCTCAATTTCATCACACGACTCAGTTTCACTCAATCCAAAGTTTTGAGTCCAATAATCTCCGTACACTCCGTCTTTGTTAAATGAGTACGCAGAAGCAAACATGGTGTAATTCCCCATGATGTTTACCAGATGTTCGGGAGAATTGATCCACGCAATCATCACTTCATCCACATCCACTTGACCAGCAGCCACATTCTCGGCCACAGCTTCCCACTCGTATGTGGTTTGCGTAATACGGTCTGACATGGTAGAACCATCTGAACCTACATGGCCCATGTAATCATGAGCAGCCATATCATCGGAATGGCTCTGAGCAGACATGTGTAACTTATTGTTTAAACATAAAGGTGATAGACCTTCAGTAGCGCGTTGCTTGTTAACTGCAGCCAACATGCTGTAAGAATACTCTTCGTAATTCGTATAAGTCATGACTTTAGTGACAATGGTTGTCCCACTGATAGTAGCTCCATCGGTGAGATTAGCCACAGCAAGAACCATGAATGCGAATGAGGAAGGAGCGATGGTCTTCATTATGATGATTGTGTGAGATGGATAGCAAATTGAAATGTGAGCCACTGATATGATTGAATGTCCCAATAGCACGACAAGAGAGAGATCATCGACAACACCCTTGCAACAGACAACATGCCGTCTGGTACTGAGCTTGTGGATCACGGCACAAGTACCTCGTCGAGTGGTAATTTAATGAACGTGTAAAACAGCTGCGCTATCATTAAGAGATCATAGACCAAGTGTGTCATGTCGTATGATAAGATGTCGTTATTTCTTGTATGTTTCAAGGTATCGCTTGTGCGTCTTAGATCAATGTACAAAGCCGAGAGCTATTCAATTTTCCAGATACGCTAAATCACGTGGTCACGCTTCGTTCGCGACAGCCGGTCAAGCGATTGACCGTGCGTGCGTTGGCATTAGACGTGGCGATCACAAAGGTATAATCTGACTAAGTCGTATTTATGATCGTCGTGACGATTAGGATCGAACACAGGTGTTTGATTTTGTTCAAGATTCCTTTTTCTAAGAATATCTAAGCGAGGCATTTAGTGGTTGTAAAGTCATATGTAAAGGAGCTCTCTGCCGCAAATTGTGATGAATTGGAATGGCTAGTTTATTATCATATGTATCTGTTTATGGATGTAGGCGTCTGTGTATATACTTTATACGGTAGTCTTGACACATACTACTAAAACTTACACTATGATAACCAGATCAAATGATCTTGTGATAACGAAGGAGGTAGGTCGCTCGAACGAACTGATTATTGCTGCATAGGATCGTAGAATGTTTTAAAGAACAAGCTAGCACGATCTACGTCTGCATTGCTTGCAAGTCCAATTAAACGCATACTTAATGATCAAGATCATTGAGCATCATTCATGACCTCTTCCATCTAGATATGGAGTCAATTAGAAATCAATTTATATATTTTTCACTTTTATATCAATTTTCGATATAACTTGAGAATTGTTGATATTTATCCCCACCACTAACGACTACAAGCCCATGTCATCAAACTGATTGGTCTCGGCTACAAATTTGCCGCGCTTGCTTGCCTCACCATGAGTATATCAGAGCAATAATCTGCATCTCATTGGCGCTGGCGTTATAAGTAATCAAATAGTTTCATGTTGTTTTGAGTAGCAGTAATCGTACACCGAGACTCCGTAGCGCTGTTTCCCGACAACTGTTTGACCACAAATAGCGAAACCTAAACAATACTCAATGCAGCTTTTTTATAATGCCCACCACGCAATCGACGTACAAGATATGTAGTATTGAAAGCATACTATTTTCATTTTGTCCACTCTAATTATTGGAAACGAGTCATGACCACATCAATGTCTTCGTCTTTTTTGGCTGCGATGGTCTCTCATTTTTCTGCTCAAGTAAACAAGGAATGAAGTATCGTAGTAATGCTAGACGCTTGCTTGAGGCTGTTGGAAACAAGTTAAGTCTTCACTTAAGTAAACCAGGAGGAGTTATGAAACTCCCAGCCATTTGCATAATTACATAGCTAAAAGCAGAATACATTCACTTGGAAAGTTACCTTCAAACCATTAGGTCCTTCCTTCCTATCTGTCATTTACAGCATTTTGCGCAGAAGTAGCGCATCGGGCCACCGATTTAGTTCAACAGGTTATGAGTTCATCACAACAGAATGATAATGTTATTCACAATGTGACAGACAAGTAGGAAGAGCTCACTCCAGCAGCAGTATTGCGTGAAATGCGGGAGATGATGCTACAGAT